AGAGCAGGCGAGTCCCTGCAGACACCTGACTGCAGCCCGGGGCCACTGATGTCAGCCTCCTGGCCTCCAGACCGTGAGAGAAGTTGCTGTTGTGTGAAGCCACCCAGGTGATGGTCATTTGTGACAGCAGCCACAGAAATCAAATACAGGAGCTTTCCCCAAATCGCTCCATCTTGATCAAAACTTGTTTCCATGGCAGCCTCCTTTATTTGGGGTTAGGGAGGAAACGGAAACTGGTTACATCAGTTCACCCTAATGAGAGTCCCCGGAGCTCTCAGAGGTAACAGAGTTCTTCCAGGAGAGGAGTTGTAAACCCTCGGATTAATGCCTAATTGCTAAGAATAATGTCAGGAAATAAAGTGAATTAAAACTCCAAGTCATGGGATGCAAATTTAGGGACCAACCAACCCACACATTAGGGATGGGGGTCTGCCCTTAGAGCTACTACCCTAGCCAGGTTCTTCTTTTCACTCCTAGAAGCTGAGACATTCACCACAAGCTCTTCATTTTTTTCCTCGGGGGCCACCCTGCATTGCCCCAACCAAGGGCGGGGCACGCAGTAAATGCGGGATGTGGTGGTGAGTAAAGGCAGGTGGCAGAGAGCGAGCGGAGGAATCCAGCCACCACCTGCACGCACAGGTGTCTGCTGCGGGGTCCCTGCCCGCACAGCACAGCGGGGCCCCTTATCAACATCCCTGTGAGTTACAGTTCTGCTCAGCCCGAGTCTCCTCCCCAAGTTCTATGTGATTCATCACAGTTATGTCTCGTTTTCAGTAACATGCGTCTCTCGTTTTCTGTGCAAAGTCGCCGTGTAAAGCAGACACAAACCTTTATCCTGTAAGAAGAACTCCCCTCAACTCTGAGCCACAGCTTCCTTGGGGATCACTTCTGGACAGTTGCTCAAGTCAGCGCAGACCTAGAGGCTGTAGCCATCAGCCTGCAAGGGAAGCCCGTGGCCTAGAACACTCGGAGCCCGCAATGGACACCACGCATGCACGGCTTCTGGGACGTTAACATCGAAAGCGGAAGCGGCACCTTCATCTGTCCAGCGATTGCCCTGTAAGTGTTCCTCCCCAATGGTTATGTTTACACTTCCCCTAGTTGCTTTAAAAGCCCCAAACCAAGTGGTGGAGTAGGACCACGGGCAGTCCTGTGAGAGGCTGCCTCCAGCACCGATGCCAAACCATCGTGATGCCCTGTCCCAGTTCCCTTCCTTCCACAAAACTGTGCTGAGCAGCGTGAACATGACCCGGGGGGGAAGGGGTGGGTCAGAACCTGCAGGAACAAGACCTCCGTTTGTTTCCTGGGTACGTCACGCTTCAGAAGCACTGCTCAGCCTGGCATGGGAGGCCGCCGTTTGGTCTTTGACAGCCGAGGGCTACCTGATGGGCAAAGCCCAGGTCGAAGTGGACGCCCCAGCACGACGGCAGGAAAGCAAGGGTGGGGACCCTCAGGCTGCACCAGGTGGAGTGAATTAACTTCCCAGACGGCAAGGCTTCCCACGAGCAAGAAGGACCTGCCTGCACTGTTGTCCCAGTGTCTCATCGGGGACTCACGGTGCTGCTGTCTCCCTCTGTAATGCAACGATTTTTTCTTTGCCCACGTGTCTCTCCAGGAGTCTAAACACAGACTTATTTAATCAACATTGCCTAATTTCTAGGTAGTCTTACTTCCCAGCTTTGCTTTGATGTTGACGCCGACTGTCTGAGTCACTTGAAGTGACTGTTGACGCGGGCAGGCTTCTGCCCCCTTTCCAGTCTCCCACACGTGGGGAGGACACAGCTGGCCCGCAAGCACTAGGTGATGTGCCCTCTGAGAGTTTGCCTAAGTTCGGTCAACTTGAGAAATTACTGTGGCTTTTCAGGGAGAGTGAAGCTTTCTTCTGGATGAGACAATAAATACGAAATGAATGAAAACCTCATACAACAGTGGCCACCTCACAGAATACCGCACTAGAGCCACAGCAGAAGAGATTTCCATGCAAAACACAACCATTCACTAAGCAGGTAAGCCTTGTATTGAGTGCCTTGCCTATATTTGCTTCCTTCCTTCCAGTGGCCACCTTGTGACCTGGTCACTAAAGTAATTATCTCCTCCGTTTTACAGAAGAGGAAACTGAGGCACAGTGAGACTCAGTGGTCCGCCCTGAGTCTTGCCCTGATGGGTGGTGGAGCTAAAATTTGAAGAACTTTTCAGCTCCAGCGACCACTGCTCTTCATCACCCTGCTCTCACGTGCGGCTGAAACAAGGTCAAGATCAGGGAACTCTTTATCTCCATCCTGAGGAGGAGGAGTAAGGGGGCGACATCGAGGAGGGTCCCTGGACCGCACTTCCTGTCCACACGGTTTGGGCCGTCAGGATGGTGCGGGCTGGTAACGGAGAGACGAAACACATCCTTCCCTCAGCTCAGAAAAGAAGCCTTCTCTGGCTCCCAGACAGGGCCGCTGCCCCGGAAACAATGAGGATGCGCCCCCCTGCACTCCATCTCCGCCCACACACTCACCTTCGAATCACTGGGTCCCCAAAGCACACGAGTACTTGGCAGCCCCAGGCAAGCCCTGGAGCCCAGCTCCCGAGCAAACACGGGGAATTAAACAGTCCGCGCAGACTGAAAACTGGACCGTGGAAGGTGCCTGCAGCTGGCGGTTAACACCAGCAGTAAGAGGATCAACTCCTCGTCCGCGGGCTTAGACCAGGGGTGGGGGCGAGGAGCGTGCGCCCTCCCTTTCACCCATTCACGTCAGTTAATTTGGATGATAAGGGTTCCTGTTTAATCCCTTTGTGAGAGTGAATATGCTGAAGCTGACAACCCCTGGGAGGGCACTCCAGGCTGGCAGAGCAAGCCGCGGGAGGGTGTGCGTGGTGCCCAGTCTGGCATGAAGTGGGGAGGAAACGTCGTGAGGAGACTGAAAGGAAGACGGAGAGGGACATCCTGGGGGTGCAGACTGAGCCCCACACCTCCCAAGGGGGCGGCAGGCAGGCAGCTCGCTTCCCCAGTTGCCTGCACCCCCGGGGCCCGCTCTGCGTTCCAGGAGCTCCCACGTTCCCACCAGTGAGCAAGGGCTCCGCCCTAGCCACCTCTGCCAAGGACCCACAACACCCGAAGGGAGACCCCGCGTGCTTTGCCATCGTTCAGCAGAGCAGAGAGAATCGAAGGGAGGCGGGAAGCAGAAAAGAGGGACAGAATGTGTAAGAAGACGTTTCAGTTCTCAGAGGGAACAGGCTAGAAAGAGCAGAGAGCTCCGTGGCTCTAGAGCAGGTTGTAAAACAAAAACCATTTTTCTAGTTTCCCTCTGCAAGAAAGCCACCCCCTGCCCCCAGCCCCCGCAAGCCTAGAGACCCCAGAGTGCGGTTCTGCGGCGGTGAATGTGAGTGAGCCCCGTGGGTGGGGGACGAGACCCCGGCTGCGGGGCCCGGCGGCCGGGAGGCGCAGTCGGTGGAGAGAGTTCCCCGCCGCCTCCCTCCTCCTGCCTCTTGGGCCCGTCCAGCAAATGTCCTCCCTGGGTTTCTGTTCCTGCCTGATCCCCCTCCTCCTCCCCGCCCCCCATATACTTGCTCTCTAAAACCATAAAAAAGAGATCAACTCCCCTAACTTCACGGGGCCCTTTTCAGTGACAAATATTGATGCCCAAAGTGTCTGCGCGCTCCCTCCCTCAAACGTGAAGAAAGGGCGCCCGCGAAAGGGGGACATAAAAAGTTAACAATGCTGTGAAAATATGTTTGCAGAAAATAGACAATCGTTGGATTAAACGTATTCAAGTATGAAATAATGCCTTTTTGTGTCAAAACTTGGGCGAGGGGCGGGCACAAAAGTTCCCTGTGGCAGCTACTTGCTCCCTTTGTGAGCCGTGCGCTTTGGCGTCGCCACTTGGGCGCACGGCTCAGAGCCCTCTGAGCGCGATTGTTTCTCCCTTTCTAATGACATTTACCGGATCAAAACATGCTGTTAATTCGATCAGAAGGCTTCACCCTCCCTGACAAAGCCACAATAATTTCTCCTGAAGTTTGTTAAATTGACCAAAATTAGGCAAATGAATAGGGGTCTGTAGGCGCCCCCTCTCGCAGGTGACGTTGCATAATGCTCGCCTGGCCAGCTGCATTCCCCCTTTTCTTCTCGGCCCGCTCTCCGCTCTGGCCCCCCAACCCTCCCAGCACCCCCCTCACCCCACACGCACGCACGCACGCACGCACGCCTGCCAGCCTCTCCTCCCCCACCCTCTGGCATTATGAAAATTTAGCCCAATGAAAACTATTCATACTTTTCAATGCACATTTTCGTATAGGATAAGAGGCTACAAATTGAGCCTCTTTCCTCCGTGAAGAGAGCCCGAGGGGGGAGGGAAAAAAGCAAGCGACGCGGTTGTGGGGCAGGGGGGAGCGTCGCGTGCCCAAGACCGGAGGGCGGGGAGGCGCGAGACCGGAGCCTCGTGTGCCAGCCGCAGCCCCACACCTGCCGGGATGTCCGAGCAAATAAAGCGGTGTAAACAAAAAAGGGGGAGATGGACGTGTCACCAAGTCGTGTGAGAAAAGCCTGGGAACAAACGGGGCGCCTCCGTCTCCAAGAGCTCTCCCTTGAACCCAGCGGAACAGCCTATTAAAGGCTTACTTAATTACTTTAATGACTCTGGACAGGCTTTAAAACGCACTCGGCGCTGGGAGCGCGGTCTTGCTGGGATTTGTAAACAGGCAATCGTGTGAGTCTCGGCGGTGGGACTAAAGGAGGCTACGCTGTTTTGTGAGGGTCTTCGCCCCCCGGAGCCGGCGGCCGCTGCGCCCCTGCGCTGCGCGCCTCTGGCTGCTGCAGGCGCTCGCCCGCGGCTGCCCCGTTCACCGCCTCCTCTTCCTGCCCCGGCTGTTGCCATGCAAATGTTATTCCCCGCCGATCACGTGTCCTTTTAAGGGCCACGTGGATTAACAAAGCTGATCTGGCCCTTGCTTCGCCCCCCTCGGCTGCTAAATTTTTTTCCTTAACTTCTTTAAAGCTGATCCTGAATGCATACATCCCCCAAACGCAGGTCCCTAATCCTACGGAATAATTCAGCTCGTGAATGCACTTGGAGGCCGAGATGACCGCTTTATAAGGCAGACCCTCGGAGCCGGGGGGCCGCAGTAGTCCACCTGGGCGCTGCAAGAGGCGCACGAGGCGGAGAGTGGACGGGTGCCTCACGCCACCGCCTCTCTCCAGGGCGCGCTCTGACCAGGATGTCAGACAAGCTCAAGGAACGCAAAGTGAGTCCGCCGACGCCCGCCGGTTCTTGCGCCCTGATGGTGCAGGCGGCTCTTACTTGAGAGGCCACCTGGCTGGGCCTATGGCAGGAACGTGGCCACGGGTGACTTCTCCTCTGCGGAAGTTCTGAGCGGTTTGAGAAGGGAATGAGGACAGGGAGAGGTGACTCCTGAACCGGGGAGTAGTCCACGCCTAGCGGCCACCTGCCCGCTGCCCTGGCGCTCATCTTGGCTGCGTAGCCCCGCGGATAGGGAGGCTGGAAGCGGGGCGCGCCAGCGCGGGTGTGGGAGGGCAGAGCTCGTCTGATCCAGGTGTGGAGGGGCAGGGACTCCCGCCGCCGGGAGCACGTCCATGGGCAGCTTTGGGGGCCTGGGAAGACGGTGGGCAGGCAGCTACATCCGGGCCGTTGTCGACTCCCTGCGCAAAGCTAACCGTAATTCGCAAACTTCTGTTCGCAGAGAACCCGTGTTTCCCACAAAGTGATAGAAAAGAGGAGGAGGGACCGGATTAACCGCTGTTTGAACGAGCTGGGCAAGACAGTGCCCATGGCCCTGGCAAAGCAGGTAACGGCGGCGCCAGGTAGGGGACTAGGCGCTGGGGATCCTCTGCTGCCACGCTCCGCCTAGACGCCGGGAGACTGGGGGCCGAGAGGCCTTTACCCGAGAGCCTCCTTCCCCGGGGCCGGAGCGCACGTCCACAGCGGCGCTCTGCTCGCCAGTCCTCTCCAGACAGAACCCTGCACCCATCCTGCGTGGGAGGCGGCCTGCGCCTGCTGCGCAGCCATGAGGAACCCTTCTCCCTTTGCAGAGTTCCGGGAAGCTGGAGAAGGCGGAGATCCTGGAGATGACCGTTCAGTACCTGAGGGCGCTGCACTCCGCTGATTTTCCCCGGGGAAGGGAAAAAGGTGGGCGCTGGCTGGGCAAAGGGGATTCTGGGCATACAGCGTGCGCCACTGAGAGACTTGAGGGTGGCAGTAGGGGTGAAGGGGCGCGCTGGAGAGGTCTCTCCGCACACCGCCGGAGTAGGTGCGGTCGGGAGCGGGCAAACGCTGGGGCGGGGAGGGGGCGGCGCGCGGAGGGGGCTGGAGAATGTGTTTCTGAGCGCACTGGTTCCGTGGCCTCCTCTCAGGTGGGGAGGGGTAGAGTCAGCCTCTTAAGAAAAAGGAAATCTCTTGTTTGCGCTTTTTCTAGTCTCCAGTATGGGGAGAGGGGAGTGGAGCTTTGACCAGAAAGTGTGGTGGCGGGTGCCTGGCAGCCCCTCCAGCTCCCGGTAGCAAAGGGGCTGCTCGGATTTTTTCCCTTTCTATGGTTTTACTCACACCTCCAGCAGAACTGTTAGCGGAGTTTGCCAACTACTTCCACTACGGCTACCACGAGTGCATGAAGAACCTGGTGCACTACCTCACCACCGTGGAGCGGATGGAGACCAAGGACACCAAGTACGCGCGCATCCTCGCCTTCTTGCAATCCAAGGCCCGCCTGGGCGCCGAGCCCGCCTTCCAGCCCCTGGGGTCATTATCGGAGCCAGATTTCTCCTATCAGCTGCACCCCGCGGGTCCCGAGTTCGGGGGCCACAGCCCGGGCGAGGCCTCCGTGTTCCCGCAGGGTGCGGCCACCGGACCCTTCCCCTGGTCGCAGGGCACGGCCCGCAGCCCGGGGCTGCCTTACCTGCCCAGCACGCCCTTGCCGCTCCCGAGCCCCACCGCGCAGCAGCACAGCTCCTTCCTAGGGCCAGTGCAGGGCCTGGACCGGCACTATCTCAACCTGATTGGTCACGCCCACCCCAGCGGCCTCAACCTGCACGCGCCCCAGCACCCGCAGGTGCTCTGACACCTGCCCGCCCGCCAGATTGCTCTGGGCCTCGGGCACTGCTTAGGAGAGATACTGTATATTGTACAGGTGTAAATATTGGGCCACAAATAGCTGGATCTGGGAAGGCCAAGAGCATATTAGCCTTCTGAAGGATCTCCTCCTGGCAATAAATGTTTTCTGTTAAAGACGCTAAAAGATGGATTTCTTTGTTACCTCCGGCTCCTCTACAACATGTTCCCCTTGGCGTTGCCGATGGCGCAAGGCTCGTAAGGGCCAAGGCGATTTGGGGAGGGGAGGCTAAACGGAGGCGTCCTTGGGCACGGGATTTCGAAGCTCCCCCAGTCTGCAGACCCGCTTCCGCCCCAAATGCACCTTGGGCGTTTGCCTCACGGAAGGGCAGAGTGACCTGGATATTGGCTCTCAGATAAACGCAAATCCAAGGACCCGTCCCCAGATGGCTTTCTCGGACTTTCGCCAGCTCCAACGGGGCGCCCTTCCTACCCGCAAGGAGGCCCCCGGGACACCAGCGCACGCCGGGGGCTGGTCTGGAGCGCGGCGACACTCGGGCCCACGGGATGGGTGATGAGGTTTACATGCTTAAAAAGTGTGTGTGTGTGTGTGTGAGAGAGAGAGAGAGAGAGAGAGAGAGAGAGAGAGAGAGAGAACTTTAAGTTGGGGCTTAAAAACATCTGACAATTTTTTTTTTAAGTCTTTGGATGACAGCTACCCGGCGCTGCGCCGGAGGGTTTGGGGAAACCGGCTTTGCCTTTTATGCGCAGAGCAGCTTGGCTTGGAGGGGACGGGCAGCGGGGGAGAGGCCAGCACCAGCGTGTCAGGAGATGAGCTCTCCCAAGGGGCTGTGCCTCTGCGGCCCCCACTGGCTCAGGGCCCCGACCCTGGGTCTCTTCCAGCCCCTGGGTCGCTTCCAGCCCGGGCCCTCAGGCCTAGTAAGAGCAGGCTTCCCCTCCTCCCCTCTCCCTGGGGTGGGGTGGGGTGGGAGGGCAGCAGGGTGGGGGGATTTTAACCTTCTCACTGCACCTAGAGCACAGGTAAGTGGGGGCACGGGAGACTTGGTTAGGACCTTTAAGGGCTTATGGCTTCCGGTTCGGGTCCGATCTGGACCTTACCCACGACACAGCGCTACGTTTGAAAGAGGGACCTCAAATCAGGTTTTTCCAAGACACAAGCAGCAGAATACGCCCCACTGTTGCCTTGTGCAAACAGGTAACATTTAACAAGGTGCCGGAGCTGCTCGAGTCACGTGGGCAGAAATTTAGATTTTTTCCTTCACTGGTTTTTTTCTTCGTTCCCGTCTCTGCTTGTTGCTCCGGTTAACTCTGATACCCATGGGCTAAATGATTCAAAACTGAGGGGCAGGTTTTCCCGTTACCCGAGGCCAGTCAGCTCAGCGATGATCAGTTGTCGTCGCCCAGATTCGCTGAAGGACAATAAATGAACTTATTCCGTTTCTGGAGACAGGGCTGAAGGGAGCTCTGACCCGGCCTGTTTACTGAGGTCATGCACTAGGGTGACCTGCGATTAGTAGCCATCAAACCTGAATACAAAACAAATCACCGAGTTACGTGGCCCACAAAGTCAGACTTAAATGTATGTGTTTGGTGTGGGAGGGGAGGGGCAGGCAGGTTACGTTTCTGTAACCTTCAGAAAAGGTCTTGTAAGTCACTAGTTCTTGTCCTTCCGTGCACCTCATGTCACTGCGATACTTACCTAAAAAATGTGATATGCAAACAAATATCTCTTCCCGTATGAACTGGTGCAGTCGGCGCAGGACAGGGTGTGCCAGGCCAGGAGGCCTTCTGGGCAGCACACGCGCACTGGGCAGCTCGGGCTGGGAACCGGTTCTGCAGGACCGGGGGCGGGGGGTGATGCTCAGCGCCTGTGACTGGAACACTCGTCTTACACCCATTTTTGTCGGCGCTGGATGCAGAATATGAAGAAAGCCTTTCAGGCTTTTCTTCTTCCCCTGAGCTTTAAGCCAGTCTGAATTCCCTTTGGCAGAGAAGCATTAAAGATATAGTGTTACCCTGGAAATATAAATTATTAATATATTCAGCATTTTTGTCACTTCTCGACTGTTAACCAAATTAGACAAAACTCTCTTTTGCTAAGTAGATTTTCTCTTCGGGATTAGCCCTGGAACGGCACAGGGCCACCGCAGTAAAAACTTCGGTCATTTACATGTAATTCTGCAAACTTCCACTGGCCCATGACAGTCTTTGTACCTCGAATGTTGGTATTCTTGATTTTTTTTTCTTCCTCGTTTAGCTGGGGAGGATAAAACCCTGCTCCGGGCTTACAATGACTTTCGGATAAAAGTCTCCCTCCCCTTTCTTTCTCTCCCCCTTTCTGTGTGTGTGTGTGTGTGCGAGCGCGCGTGTGTCTGTGTGTGTGTTTTCTTTCTCTGAAACCTTCGTCCAAAGTTCCAATTCTCCAGGCTTGGCCAAAAGTCAAACTTGAAGTCGTTTGACTTTGCAAAAGTTTAAAAATGTCACTGCAAGATGGAATCGGTTCAAATCAGGTGGTGACTTGAATGTGCTCTTCTGGCACTTTCTCTGACAACGCGTTACTTCCAGCCTCCCTGGCCCAAACCCCCGGCTCCTCCCCCGCCCTCTGACTCTCCTAGGCCCAATCCCTCCAGTCTTCCTTTTAAGTAAGTTGTATAGTAATGGTTTCCGAGAGAGGCTCAACCAAACCCAGAAATAACAAAAAACAAAAACCCGTGGGTTTGGCTGGAGGTGACCCATTGTGATGCCTCTGAAAGGGGCGACCTCTTGTTTCTTGGGCTTCATCCTTGAGCGGGCAAGAATAAAAATAATCATCCCATGAAATCAAAGGTTTTCTCCAGAGGCGTGAGGAACAAAGCTGATGGCTGGTGCTTCGGGTCGGTCCCCGTGGCTCTGCAGGGCCGGAACGAGGCGCTTCCAGACACTCTGGCCGCCCCTGCCGAAGGGCGGTAATACAGAGCTCACTTGTGCTCCCAAGTGTTATTGAACAAACACTGCCTGCGTGGCGGTGGGGGCCTCCCGTCTGGGCTCCAGACACTGGGCAAGGGAGGTGCAGGGCAGCTACCGAAGTGCCTAACTGACCCCACAGAAGTATGGATTCCCAGGAATCTTGGAATGGGTGTCTGCGTAGAGTAACACACTGAGAAGAAGAGGGCACTATGGGGCATGGCGTAGAAGCCCAGTAATTGTGGAAGGACGGAATGAACTGCCTAAGAGTGCGGAGTCTCTTAGAATGCTGCATCTCGCCTAGACCTCGTGTTGCTGGCCCTCGGTGCCCTTCCCCGCTGCAGCAGGAACTGGAAAGTACTTGGACAGCCCCCGAGACATCTGTTGAGTGATCTACACCTTCTGAGAAACTGTCAGCGGGAGCAGTGACCGTGCCTTTCCCGGAAACACCGACCTTGTGGTGGGACAGCAGGAGGCACCCTTGGCCCGCAGGGTTAAGGTGGTTCACTGTAGGCCCAGCTAACTGTGGACCCCCACATGCAGGACCCCTTCTCTTAGGCCAGTCCTGAATTTGAACTCTGGTCCTTTCACATGGGAAAGGTCCGAGACTGGGATGATTCTACCTTCTTTTCTGCCTCCCGAGTTGTTCGGTGTGGCTCGTGGAGCCGGCCCACCTGGATTTGCATTCCAGCTCAGCCGCCACCAGCTGCGTGCCTTCAGGCAAATGGCGAAGCCTCTAAGAGTCTGAGGACTCGGTGAACTGGCACAGTCAGAGCACTCTAGACAGTGCCTGACCCGCAGTGAGTGTTCCATACGTGTTAGCTGTCATAATCATCTACTCCTTTCTCCCTTCTCCCAAAGGGTCGGGTCCTGGGAGCTGCCTCAAACTAAACAACAAAATGCAAAGGCAAATCATAAAAACATATTTTAAACCTTAGGACTTCTTAAACCACAAGGTGCATTCTGGAACTAGTCAGTATTCTTCCTTTAGGGCGGAGGAGCCGAGAGCTCTAATTTCACCCCGTGGTCAGGCGGGCTCTGTGTTGCCGCCAGAGGTGGCTGCAGTGCCCGCTTCGAGCCCAGCAGCGTTATGGCGGGTAATAACGGGGAATGCCCTCTCTCCACTCTTTCACACACGGAAATCTGGCCTCACGTTGTTTTGCAACGGCTCATACACCTGCACTCCCAAATTCTTCCTCCAGGTACACATTCTAATGCCTGTTCACACACAAATCTTGGCCATTGCAAAATCTTCACTGAAACACGGAGTAAATACACTAATTTGATATTCCTTATTAAGTGCAGTTTCTATGGCAGCTTTATGTCCTCTTCTCGGCTTTCTCCCCATCTTTTTTCCCACTCAAGTCTTTTATCTAGACCATTCATTGGCGTCGGGCTCCACCCGTGGCTGCAGGCCCAAGCCTGGGTGTAGGTCAAAGGTCAGCCAGGACACCCAGCACTGGAGCCTGCCCCTAAGCCCCACTCCCTCCCTCATGTGGCCTGCAGTTCTCACGCTCCCTCGTTTTCCGAGGCCCCATTGGCTGCAGGTGCCTGACCCTCCAGGTGCCCAGGGCCTGGGGTACAAGTTTATCTGTGTGTGCGCATGGGTCCCCTGCAGACGGAGACTGCTGGAGTAATAACTCCTGACGTCTCTCAGCAGTCCGCCCATATCCTTCAGCTACTGACTGGAGTGTTTGGGGGGGCAGACCCAGGCACGCGCACCTCAGCCGCATCCTCTCTGGGCGCCGACCTGCCCGCAGGGAGCACGCCAGCATTCCCTACTAGGCTGCTAGGAAGATTTCTAGCTCTTCTGTGCTTTTCGTGGGCAAGTTGAATCCAATGCAAAGTGCTGCGAGCTCACTCTCTCTGCATATTGAAGTCACATCCTCCAGCCAGTCGCAAAATAGACATTTTTATCTCCATCGTACACCTACGCCTCACTGGTTCTAAGCGCAGATGGGAGAACAGTGATTTTACGTGTCAAATACCCTAAGGCTCAGAGCCTGGGCGCCTGCACGTGTGCAGCTGGGAAGCAGGCACAGGCATATGCCTGCCTGCATCAAACGGTGCAGGCCCAGGAGTGCCCGCACGTGTGTGTGTGTGCACAGGACGTGTGCTAGCGTACACATGTGTGCACATGGATGGACAAACGGAGGCCAAGGAAAGGGCCACCCACTTGA